TGGAAGGCTGAGGTGGATTGCCACGAGTTCAGGCGGCCTGGGTTAGAGACGTTGTCTCCCAAAAACAAGTATATGAAAAGAAAGCAAGTCTGCCACACACTGGTGAGGGAGAGGTAGGAGGAAGAGACCCTGCTCACCCACGGGTTGCCAGGGCCTGTGGGGCTCTTGGATGCTGGGGAGGTGATGGCCCCTGCGCAGCCTGCAGCTGTCGCCTCTGTCCTCCTGTCAGCAGAATCTGGGGTCGCATGTGGGACACCCAAGACAGGGCTGGCCGAGCTGGCCTTTCCTGCTGCCGTTGGGTTTGTTTCTGTGGTGCTGCAGCTGGTGGACCTGCATGCACTTGCCCCGGCCTGCTGCCCTCTGTTCTGCAGGCATTGCCGGAGGTCACAGTGCCTGGGGTGGAGCAGCCATCCTGTGAACCAGTGCCACGGATCAGGTGAGGCCCGTACCCTTGGCACCGTCTTCCTGGGCCCCGGGCAGCACCGCTGATGCGCTGCTTAAAGACGTCGATCCTGGAGCTTCTGCTGACCGAGGTTTCCTCCCCTGCCCCTGTATCGGCACTGCTGTATCTGCTGCTTATTCTCAGCCACCTCTGTGTGTGTCTCGAAGAACTGAGGGTTTTCTGAGGAAGGAAGTCTGTTACATTGCGTCCAGCTGCAGAGCAGCAAAGCCAGTGAGTGGGCAGCTAAGCCCTGGCTGCTGCCCTGGCCCCTGAGGGGTTGGGGAGACTTCATCTGCATCCCCCTCAAGGGCAGCTGTGCCAGGCCCCAAGGAAAGCCACAGACTCCGTGAGAGCTCTAGGGGTGGCAGAGATGTTGGTGTAAACAAAGGAAGTCGGCTGAGGCAGAAGGACACGAGCCTAAGGCCACCACATAACTTTGTGAGCCTGGTTTCAGAAAACAAGGGCTGGGATGTAGCTCAGTGCTCCCTGGTTTTGATCCCCAGTTCCACACATGCATTCGTGCACAGAGCACACGATGTTCAGCCCCTTGGACAGTCTCGTTTTAGTTTCATTGGTTTAACTTGATCGGTTTGGATTTGGACACTGAGGGCTAAGCACTTGAGCAGGGATGGGAGCCTCGACTCACACAGGCCTGGCCCCACCCGCACCCCAGAGCCAGCCTGGGAGCCACCTGTGCCTGCCCTAACCAGGGCCGTGCTGCCCTGAGGCTGAGGTTCCAAGGGTAATGGGCGCCCCAGAGAGGCCCGGGCACCAGCCCAGCTCCCTCAGGACCTGAGCACACTGGGGCTCTTGTTGCTCTGTGTGCTGTGGGTCAAACCCGAGGCCCCATGCATGTCAAGCAAGCACTCCCCACAGCACTGCACCCTAGCTGCTTTCACACGGCTTTGCTTGTCTCTGTTTTTATGGGACGGGGTGGAACCCAGGGCCTGCCCAATGACCCACATCCCCAGCCCTTTTTTATTTTTGTTTCTAAGTTGCCCAGGCCCAACTGGAACTGGCTGTCCTCCTGCCTCAGCCTCCCAGAGTTCTGGGATGACAGGTAGGTGCTACCAGGCATGGCACGTGTGACTTTTCCTGCCTCGCTCGCTGTGCTGTCATAGCTATACCATCCTCACTGTCCCCGTGTCTATACTGCACCACCCTGCCCTCTGGCCTGTGCTGCTCTCGCACCTAAGCCTTTGTCCCACGTGGACTCCAGGACCACCGAGTGAAGGGGCAGGAGTTCGTGGGACATCATTAAAACGAAACCAAGATGGCACAGCTGGGCGCAGTGGTTTCTGTCTGTAGTCCCAATTGCTTGGGAGGCTGAGGCAGGAAGTTCACTTGTGCCCGAGAGGTCAGGGCCAGCCCAGGCAACATAGAAAATCTGGCAGGGTGTGATGCTACGCGCCTGTCATCCCAGCGCTTGGGAGGCTGAGGCAGGAGGATCACTTTGAGCTCAAAGCCAGCCTGCACTAACTACATAGAACTGGCCTCAAAAGAAAAGAGCGGTGCCCCACGGAACAGAAGCTGTGTGGCTTCCTGGTGGGGTGACAGCGGCACGTGGAGGACAGGGAGTCCCCAGGAGAGGGGGCGTCTGGCACCCTGCGAAGGACCCAGGGTCCAGACGACGCTGCCGCCAGTTCCCTCTGTCATTTCAGTGTGGCAGCGGCATCCCGTGCAGTACCCATGCTGGGGAGTGAGGGTCCTGCGTGTGAATGGTGCGGCCTGCCCTCCCTGACCGGGTCACCCTGAGACTCAGGGACTTGGTCCTGCGTCACTGCCAGGTGGGGTGTGAGGCCACAGTGCCGAGGGATGGCTGTAGCCTGGGCATCGGGCTGGCACCTGGCACCTGCTGTTCAGGCCATCTGCTGCCTCTCCTCGAGCCAGAACAGCACTGCTGTTGTGTAACAGGGCCAGCCCTGACCCCGTGACTTCTCAGTAGGCAGACGGGTACCAGCGTGGAGGATGCTCAGCCGCAGAGGGGCCGGGGGAAGGTCCGAAGTCCGACCCAGTTTGGCCAACTGCTTCATGTCTTTGCTTTCATGGCCGCCTTGCCACCATGACCTGTTTGTCATTGAGATAAATTTGCCCCAGAATCACTGGGCTGGAGTGACTGATCTTGTCCCAGCTCACTGTGCTGCCCGAGTGCCACCCATCCTTGGGCCCCTGGCCCCTGGAGCCGCGAGGGGACGCATTAGTCTACAAGGGCAGTTGTGCCTCACCTGGCACCTGAGGGTCTCATTCCCACCTGTGTTCAGGGAGCACCAGGCTGCGGGACCCCTCAGTCTCCGTGTCAGGACCCAGCGACCTCAGCCGTGACCTCAGCCAGCAGGTGGCAGGCCGGCTGAGTGACTGGAGCCAGGTGACTTTGGTGGGAGCCCCATCTCTCCAGAGATGACATTGCCCATGCAGCAGCTGTCCCTGGGCCTCTGGAGACCAATGAGAGCCCCAGGCAGATGGGGCTGCTGGGCTCGCAGGGGTGCTGACCACTGGCCCCAGCCCATCACCTCCTCAGTCTTTGAGGCCAGAGACCTGTGGCCCTTGGCTGCCTCCGTGTTCCCACGTCCCTACTGATGGTCAGTCCTGGCCCCACAAGTCCTGGCAGTGCCCAAGGGCCGAGAAGGGACAGCACACGGCCGGGAGTGGCCACTGTTTTCCAAATTCTTTTTTTTGTGGTGTCGGAATCAAACTCAGGACTTCGCACCTGCCGGGCCAGCACTGTACTGCTGAGCTACATCCGTGGCCTCCAAATTCTTTTTTTGGTTTTTCCTTTCTTTACTGGGCCAGGGATGTGGCTTGTTGATGACTTATCTGCCTTACAAGCTGGGGTCTTCCGTTCAATCCCCAGTACCTCAAAAACTAATAATACCTGTGGGTACTCAGCCAGGTGTGGTGGTGCACGCTTGTCATCCCAGCACTCTGGGAGGCTGAGTCAGGAGCATGACAGGTTCAAGCCCAGTCTGGGAGACCCTGTGTCAAGTTTTTAAAATGGCTGGGAGGGAAGTTCAGTGTGAAGGCCCTAGATTCAATCCCCGGTGTGGTAAACTGACACCAAAAAATGTGTATCCAACCAGGAAAGCCCAGGCTTCCCTGAAGCTGAGTCCGAGGAAGGCCAGGTCTGCAGATCCCTGGGCTGCTGTCCAGGAGCCGGCTGAGCCACAGTAGCAGCCACTCCACAGCTGCTGGGCTCAACCCTGGCCCGGGTTGTGGGGCTCTGCTGTGCTCAGATCCCAGCCTCTCTGCGGCCAGTTTAACTGGGTCTTGGAGCCATGGGGGCCCCCCGGCCTGCAGGGTGTCAGAAGTGCCACTCTTGAGATGTTTTTCCTCCACGGTGCATACGCAAGCCACTTGTGCACATCGGAGTCTTGGCCACAGAAGGCCTGGGTGCCCAGGGGCTGTGTCTCCCCAGCTGTGGCCGGCGCCTCTGAGCCTGGGGGGAAACGTAGGCAGTCATGGGTCCCCGCCACAGCTCACCGACTTGTAAATCTCAGTCCATTTAGTTTTTGTGGTTTTTGTTTGTTTGGCTTTGGTTTTTTGAGACAGGGTCTCACTATGTAGTCAAGACTGACCTGGAACTCACTATGTATCCCAGGTTGTTCTCAAACTCACAGTGATCCTCCTGCCTCAGCCTCCTGAGTGCTGGGATTATAGGTGTGCGCCACCACGCCCGGCTCAGTCCCTTTAGTTTTTAACCTCAGCATTATGAACTCTGGCACAGCTCAGGTGCCCTTGGCCCTAGGAACCATGCTGTCGGGAAGTCTGGGCGGGGGTCTCACTTTCCCCTGCCTCCACCTGCACATGAGGTGCAGCTCTGGCTCCTGTGGGCCAAGGGGTCCACGCGTGATGCCTGGTGCTGCCCAGGCCACTCACCACCCCTCAGCCTCCTGGTGGCGGCGGCAACACGTGGGGCCACCTGGCCAGGCCCTCGCAGGTTTCTGTTCCAGGGCTGCCTCACTCCAGGGGACTGCTGCCCTCACACAGGAAGCCGGTGAATGCTGGGTGCAGGGCCCGGCCCCGGCCCAGCCAGGGGAGGCATCTGGCTCTGCTCCCTCTGTCTCAGCGGTGAGCAGTGGGTGCTGAGGCCCTGCCCTCGGGTGGTTTTCTTCCCGCACAGTGGGAGCTGCTTGGCACCTGCTCAGGCCAGCGCTGAGGGACATCTGTGGGGAGTGGATTTCGTCACCTCACAGCAAATTAGGAAGTAATTAATGGAGCCACAGCCCTGGGCTGCTGGGGTGGCTCTGGGGGCTGGCTCCCCAGCCTCGTGGGATCCCAGGCTCTGGGAAGACAGCAAGGCTGTGCATGCCTGAGAGGTTGTATGAGTCATGTAAGTAACTGGCTGAAATAACCAGGGGGATTTGCTCGGTCAATTCCAAATTGGTCTTCTCAGCACCGCTGTGTGCTATTTTTTCAAAAAACATTTCATCTATGATATTTTTTTACCATACTGTTACAAAGATCACTAAGCATACTTCAAAAGTTAAAGATGTGTGTGTGTGTGTGTGTGTGTGTGTGTGTGTGAGAGAGAGAGAGAGAGAGAGAGGGGGACTCACTAAATTGCTAATTGCCTGAGCTGGTGATCTTCCTGCCTCAGCCTCCCAGAGTTCTGGGATGACAGGCGGGAGCCACTGCATTCTCTATTCTGTGTCCTGTTTGCTCGTTTCTCATGGAGGGTTCTGGGAAAAGTTCTCAGCCGCTCGGGACTCTGACGCACCAGGATCTAGCCAGGAGCTGGGATGGAAGACTCCAGAATCGTCAGGGCCAGGTTCCCCCACCAGGGCTCTGTGGTGCTGGCGTCTGTGTTGGGGAGACAGGCTCCAGTGTTACCCACGGAGGCCCTGCAGTGACCCCAGGGGAGCAGCTGCTGACGGCTGCGTTCTCCCACTGTGGCCAGGCTGAAGGCCCTGTCCCTCAAATTGGGACACAGGCGAGTGAGCGTGCCAGGCCGGGCTGGCGCTGGCGGTCTCCTGGGACTTGTCCCAAGCAGAGCTCAGAGTCCCTCCGTTTGCCGGTGCCCCTTCCACCCCACCACAGAGCCGACTGCTGCCCAGGGCGGCAGGGCAGACCCCCACCTTCCCACCTGCAGAGCCCGTGTCCTCTGGGTGCCCTGTGCTGCCGACGCCCATCTGAGTATGGGCCTGTGGGGCCCGGTCCCCTGCATCTCGCTTGAGGAGGGGTCAGCCACAGGGCCGCTGTGGACTGGAGGACCGTGGACTGGACTGTGCTCCACTCCGGCCTCCGAGGCACAGGGGGTGGGTTGGCAGGGGTGGGGAATGCAAGTGGAGGTGGGAGCCGACACTGAGGCTTCGCGTGGGCCGCGAGTCTGTAGTCTGCATCCGTGCTCCCTGTCTGTCACCAGAGATGGCACACGGCACACGCACCCTCTGTCCCTCTCTCAGAGGGTGAGCTGGACGTGAAGACCCACGCCTGTCAACCCCTGCACTCAGGAGGCTGAGGTAGGAGGATTGCAAGTTCAAGCCCAACCTGGGCAATTTAAACAGTTGCCTGTTTAAGTTAAACAGTTAAACAATTAAATAATGGGCGGCGTGGCTCAGTGTTAGGGTGCTCTTAGTTGGAGTCCAGTGTCACACCGTACCGGGCGTGGTGGCACATCAGTGATCCCAGCCCAGCCTAGGTAACGGCAAGACCCTGTGTCAGAATTGAATAAAGTGACATCACCCTCATCACAGAAGGCTGCAGTACAGCTCATTGTGAAGGCCGTGGGTTCGATCCCTAGTACCACACTTACACATGCACAGAGCTGTATCGCAGTATAATTTTTTTCCACTGTGAGTGAAATTGAGTATATTTTCATGGTTTTTGGTGTTTGGTTTTGGTTTTTTTGGTACCAGGGATGGAACTCCAGCCCTTGCGCTTGCAACGCACGCAGTGGAACCATTGAGCCAAATCCCGGGCCCTTGTTTTCATGTTTGTTTTTCTGTGTGAACCTTCTCCGGATCTTCTGCCCATTTTTCTGTTGGGTAATTGATCACTTATGATTTTTAAGGACCTGTTCACATTAGAGAACCAAGCCTTTTGATGCTAGTTGTAAACATTAAAAAGCATGAAACAATGTTTTTGCCATGTCTAGATTTTTAAAAATTGTACATAGTTGCGTTTATCATCTTTTTTGTATGTTTTCTAGGCTTGTGTCATACGTAGTTTGAAGAAGAGCATCATGGATGTGTTGACTGGGCTACGACAGCCCAGTAGCAATGGCTACTGGCCATTTGGTGTGGGGGTTGTTTTCTTGTTGTGTTCTTTTGAGACAAGGCCTTGCTGTGTGGTCCAGGCTGGCCTCAAACCTCCCGCAGTCCTCCTGGCTCAGCCTCCCAAGCACTGGGATAACAGGTGTGCGCCATTCACACCTGCCAGCCACAGACTGTTTGAAGTGCAGGGTTGCAGTTCCCCTGAGAGGTCAGGTTACAAGAGCATTGGAAGGTAGCAGCTGTGAGAGGGATGAGTCACCATGAGGGAGGGGGACATTCTAGGTGGGGGAGGCTGAGGCAGAGGGGTCCCCTCCCCACTGGGAGAGCTCTTCCCTGGTCTGGCGGACGGGTGGTGGGGCCTCACACAGGATCAGAGTTGAATTCCTCCTCCACTTCCAGGCCACTGACCTGTGTGCCTCACCTGGCCTTGGGACAGTGGAAGAGGGTGGACAGGCGAGTGAACCCGGGTGTGGGGCAGGACTGCCGCCGAGCTCTTGGCCCTTATGAGCCCACCAGGAGAGCTTGGGGAGCAAAAGCCAGGCCTGTGCCCCAGCACGCGGGAAGAAGGGTCACTGTGGGTGCTGCCGTAGCCCTTCCTGCTGTGTGCTTGCTGGTGGTGAGCCCTCCTGCCCGCCTGTCCGCCTGGAGCTCCCGTCTCCGCCCTGCCTATCCTGGAGGCAGAGGCCACCGCCAGGCGGCACCCAGCACTCTCAGGCTGCTCCCTCGCCCAGGCAGCTCCAGTGCCCAGCACCAGGGAGCCGCCCTCCAAGCCCATCCTGTGGACAGGGACCAGATCGTTGGCCAGCAGCAGCCACAGGCTGTCAGGTTTCTCCTTCCTCGCTCTCCTTCCGCGTCCTTGTTCTGTTTTAGGGGTGGCCATCGACACAGCAGAGGGTGCTGAGTGAGGCCCTTCTGCCCCCGGAAGGGCTGCTAGAGGCCTGCTGGGGTCTCCGGCCAGCACCCTCCCCTAGCAAGTCAGCCTCACCGCCCGGGCCCAGGCCGTGCCTTCTGCTGGCCCTGGCTCCGCCTCTAGGCTCTCCCTCCTCGCAAGCAGTGAACCACAACTCTCAGTGGGGTCAGGACCACAGTGTGCCAGGCCCTGCCCTCTGCTCCCTGACCCCCAGGCCACTGCCTGCCGGGGCGTCCTGGCCCTGGGGGGCAGCTGAGGGCTCCCCACACACAGCTCGGCCCCGTGGCCCACCAGGCCGACCTACAGGGGCTCTGCGCGCCGCTGGGGGAGCCAGTGGCTTCTGTGTCCTGCCTGGGCAGAGGCCGGCCCGGAAGGCGCGGCAAGGACCACAGGGGCGACGGAGCAGGAGGCCGTGGTCCCCACGCGGGCCGCCTCCCGCCTGCCTGGTCACTGCGCCCCACCTTCGGTCGCCTCCGTGCGGCGCCCCGCTCCTCCGACGCCTCCCTTCCCACGGCTCGGCGAGCCATTACTCTGCAGACAGAAATGGGTTTGCTATTGATTCCTAAGCCACTTTTTGATTGCAATCTGTGCTGTGGCTTTTCTCGCCCTTCCCAGCCTCGCTTGTGTCTTTAGATGCCGCTGCTGCCAGAAGCCGAGCCGGGCCGTTCTGCCTCCTCTCCACGCGGGGCTAAGCTGGGTTTGGAAGTCGAGCCGCTGTGTGCACAGCCCTGCTCTGGACCCCTGCAAGGCCTTTCTGTGCCATCCTGTTAAGTTTCACAATTAACCGTGGCTCGAGAAGTATAAATAAAGGTATTAAGAACAGGGAGAGGCGCTGGCGTGGGTGTGTGGGCCCCTGCTTCTCCAGCCCCTAGTGGTCTTCGCAGGGGACGTCCCTTTCCTCGGGGACAGGGCCTGCCGGGCCTCAGGCGTCCCACGGAGGTGCTCCCTGCACCGGCTTCCTCCCCCACCCCCGTGGGCTGCTGCTCAGCGCTTCCCACCCCCACCCTGTGCGTCGGCGTCACCCAGCTGGCGCTGCAGTCCTCGGCACGTGGTGGCCTCCAGACTGCAGGGTAAGGGCAGCAGGAACCCCACTGCCAGGTGTGGACCCAGGAAGGGCTTCCTGCCCTCCACAACCCCTCGTCCTGTTATCACCCTGGGGTCACCTGGCCCGTTTCTTCCCAGGCAAGCCGGCCCCCTGCCCGCAGGTCGTGCCCCGTGCCCTCCGGCCTGCCTGGCCACCCTGCAGTGTTCCCTCACGCTGCCCCACCCACAGCCCCAGCTCCTCTGGTTCCTCTGCTCCACACGCCTGCCACCTCTGCCTGGGCCCTGACTGCTCAGTAAGCCCACAACCCTTGCCTTGCAGGGAGACTGAGGGGCCCTTATTCTGCCTCCACTGCCTTGCCTGGGGTGGCATATGGTGATTTCAGAGCTCGCCCACTACCAGTGCCACGGCCCCATCCTATCTCTCGCGTCCCTACTGCCACAGCAGACCTCGC